GTGTGTATGTGATGAGTTTGTGTGTGCCTGTGACATGAAGAATATTAGCGCTGCTTTTATTTGTGTATGTGATACGTGTGTGTGGCACTTCTGTGTGAGGTGCCTGTGTGTGTGTGTGAGAGCGCATGTGCGTGTACGCGTGCGTGTGTGTGCGGTGCATGTTTGTGTATGTGATGCTTGTGTGTGTCCCATGAAGAATATTAGAGTTATTTTTGGTCGTGTACGGTGACTGTGTGTGGTGCTTGTGTGTGTGGTGCCTTCTTTAGTATGTGATGATTGTGTGTGTGTGTGTGTGTGTGTGTGTGTGTGTGTGTGTGTGTGTGTGTGTGTGTGTGTGTGTGTGTGTGTGTGTGTGTGTGTGTGTGTGTGTGTGTGTGTGTGTGTGTGTGTCAGCCCCACTGTCCGCACAATACACTTAAATAGAAATCTGAATAAATGAACAAGGACCAAAATAGCATTGCAGCAATACATTTAGAGTCTATGCAAATTATTACACGGTACTTTTGCCTCTTTTTAAACCATTTTTCTAATGCTGATTTGATCTAGATAGACTTGCTTTTGAATCATCCAGATCGGTTTTGATTACATTCATTGTAGACACTCAGGAATATAATACACCAACATTTAAACTACATACTATATACTTGTATTTAATGACGCTTGATGCCTCTGATTCATAACACGTAATATAGACATGTATTTTAGTTTTATCAATGTGAAAAACTTATGTTTTACGTAAAACTGAACTTGATCCAAGTCCCTTAAACCAATCAATTCCAAAACGTCAAATCAGAGAAGTAGAGAAAAGCTGGTAAATAATCCTGAATACTTTTTTCGTGTCCGGTAATTGTTTTTTACACAATATATGTGACACTAGAGGTTTCCTTTCTCTTTGTAATTCATTAATAATAAGCATCGTTATATGTCTCCTAATGAAGAGAAAAAATTACATTATCAGTTCCGTAATTACATGTGTAGACAATAATCATTTAAATTAATCACAATGTACATCTATAAGATAACAGTAAATACTCTTTTATAAGAAACACATGTTAAAGTATGTCTGCTATTAAACACATTCTCAACGTCCTCTTACTTCGGGGGATTATGTCGTAATGGCAATATAAGACACGAGTAATCGCACGTGTCCAGGAACAGTGCCATAATTACTTACAGCAAGCTTCAGTTTTCCAGGACCACTCTGCCAATAGCATTAATTACTTAATTTATGGATTATAAAATACGCAAAGCAAGCGATGTGTTTAATCTCAGAATTCATATAATAATAATTAACCCAGACCAAGCCATGTAGCTTCTCTGAGAGTAAGGAAAGGTGTGACCAGTTGAACGTGTTACTTTGTGAACACTGGGCTAATTAACTCGGTGCAATAGTTTTGCATGTTACAATTATGCTAGGTTATTTTTAGAATTTTATGGTCTCGTAAAATCAGTATCTTTGTGATAAGATGAGCTATTTAATACTTTATGAACGTTAATATCACAGATATATATGTGTAAGTACAGATATATATTAGACCATTGATACGCCATGACAGTTATTGCTATATGGCCAAACCGTACCCCATGTATATCAAAGAGGTATATGATTGAAAACATTGATAATGAATCATATAGACCTGGCAACTTAATTTTTAACATTTTAAACAAGTTTGTCAATCTATGACAAGCATAACTACAACGTTTCTCAATTCGTATTTTTAGCAAACAATGTTTATCTTTCAACTGTGGGCGAGATACCTTTAAGTGGTAGGATATTTGAAAGTTAAATTGATGATTTTATTTGTCTTAAATATGAAAAGTACAATTGATATATACATTATGTTGCACTCAATAACACGGACTTGTTCACCTTATCAATTGAAGGCGATTAGTTTAAGTGAGAAATCGGATTCAACAATAAGCTTAGGAAATGAGGAAGAGAAAAAAACTAGCTGGCCTAGATGGTGATGGATTATCTATCGTATTAACAGAATCAAGGAAGACGGAGACATTAACCAAGGGACGTTATTAGACGAAATCTAGATATATCACAGTTTTAAAAAAGATACAATTAGTTTATTTATGTTTTAAAAAAGCTTGTCTGGAACAGTCATGAAAAATATAGTATAACTCCTTTGTAAATCCTTTTACATCATCAAATTACAAAGCGGAATCATGCATTTTTTGCAAAACGTCCTTTATTGTGTATAATTGAATGAGAGCAGCTGTGGTAGGAAGCGAGTGATAGGGAATGGGGCGGATTCGTTATACAGGGACATGGGTCAAACAAGGTAGCAAGTTGTGCATATCAATACATGCAACAGAATAACACTGTTTAATATATGAACTGAATTCTACAACAATCGTCTCAATTGAAAACCTTGTAACAAATAATATATATTGTTATTTAATTTCTTTTTATTTCATATTTTTTTATTTTTTGTGTTTTCATTTTATTTTACTTGGTTATTGTTGTTTGTTTTTGTTGGGTTTGTTTGTTTTGTTTTGTTGTTGTTTGTTTTGGGGGAGGGCGTATTGTTGAGATTATTATAATTTCGTAACGTGATTCTGCCACGTGTCATGCATGCATTAACCGATAGTCCGTTAGCACCTTTAGCATATTAGCATGCATACCCCCAACAGCGCATACCTTACATGTGGAGCCAGCACATATGTCAAAACAGTCATGTCACCTTAATTAAACACCAGTCACTTAACAAATACAATTTAAAAAACCGTGTCACTTGCAAAATCATTACCGTTATACCCTAGGTGGTCCTCCCCCCTTGACGACCCCTCCCGCCGCGCCCCCACCCTGGGAACCCCCTCACTCTCCTCACCCCCTACCCATACCAAACCAGGTTTCTGTCACTATTTGCCCTCACACTGCTGTGAATCCCTTATCATCCTCTAAATACTCAGCCTAACGCTTTTGTCACGGACGGACCATCTTAAGGGGGATAGCCGTTTGATAACTTGGTATCTTCTTTTGAAAAATGACCAGAAATCGATTGAAATATCCGATACGAGTCTTACTTCTCTGTACAGCTCGCCACAGCAAAGGAAAAACTTATAATCTTATCATGAAATCTTCCCCGGCAGTTCTCAACGTACAACCCGACCCCATTAATTAATACAACACGAAAGCCGAGTCAACATCTCCTACCGGGGTCTATCTTACTACCGTATTATAATTCGCTACTCTCTTTGCACTGAGGTGGGAGGTTGGCTTCATTACCGGTTAACAAAATCAAACATTTTTCTTTTCGTGAATCTATTTTCTTTCAGAGGTACACAAACGTTGTTCTAAGTCGTGAAAATAATCCAAACTTTGACACCGGATGAATTTGCTACTTGGCTGATTTCGTTCCCCGGGGCAAATTCCCCTTCGAAGTTTGTATTAGGGGAGGGTTTTTAAACAGGTCGGGTAATTGTCACCTGGTCTGATGTCCTATCGCAAAATGCATTGTCTGCTTGTATGTCGGATCAAGAATTTGTGAAGATTCATCTCAAATCCGCCATGTAAAAACACCATACCCCGGAGCTAAACTCCAATCTAAGTTCAGATATTCATCCTCGTTTTAGCGTGTATTTGACGTGTACATTTCATCACGTTTCCGCCAGGTTAGTTTGTTTTATATTTCTCCACCAATGAGCAAATCAGATACATTTCAATCAAGGCTTGTTCATAGCTGTCAATACCATCATCCTGACCGTCATTGTTATCTGGCTGCCGTAGAACAAGGGGTGGAAGATTCGTCACCTCGACTGTCTCAGGCGCGAAGTCTAACCACCCCAAATCTTCTTCCCACAGGAATACCATTGTTAGGTACCTGTAAACAAATCTTAGAGATTAGGCGTCGCGAAAATACCTCAATTTTAACAAGTTTCACGTGATGACACGAGGAGGCTAAGCGATGGAGCGAGACTCGATTGACATGTCAGATGAACGTTACACCACATGACGGACTAATTACATTTTAAATGTAGGGTAGGACAAGACCAGTAATTAAATATAAGTCGAAAGCTTGAAATTGGATGTTGATCCGGTTTCCCGAGCAAAAAAACAAAAGAACTGACAAGAGGAAATAATATCTGTTTATATGAAAATCTGACATGTTGTTTTTATAAACAATTTCGTATTTTGGGAGGAAATCGTGGGAAACGAGAACGATACGTTATTATTAATTGCGACACAATAAATATTTCTAGACAACTTTAGAATCTTTGTGCATATATGTGTAGGTGAAAAATGTTGAGTTGTAAATTGAAAAAATATATCAAATGTTATGTAGTCAGAGAAAAATGGGATACAATTGTAATATTCTTGCATCTTTCGTGTTGAATTTAGTCTATTTTGAAAGAACTCCCCTGTAAGACTATATATACATATGTCATTTATTATTATACAAATTACATGTCTCTTCAATGATATTTTCAAACGATCACTCACGAAGTGTCGAATAGTGTTCAAATCTGAATGTTTGGTAAAAAGGGATATTGTATTGCGAGAACACAATTAATTCAAACAGTATATTTATAATTTCATAAACTTAGTTATATTATAATTTTATATATGTCAAACTGAGAGGACGAGTGTTCAACAGTGAACTCCTATCACGGCCGTGTCGCGCTGACTTCAGCCATGCCACAACCCCAGTGAACAGTGAACAACGTGAATTGTCAGTTCTCAAAACTAACAGCCCGTCAACGGTCAAATACAGAAAGTCAAGGTATTCAGTCACAAGCGCGGATGATCATCACTGTAAAAACAAGCCGTGCTCAACGGGTGATAAAGTGTGTTAAAAAGATTGACATTTCTATCTGAGATATCGCGAGAGGCGGGGCGCGGCCTCTTAATCCAATCACGGCGAACCACTAGCCGAGCGGCCGTGGTGAGGTGTCAATCTCTCCGCGCTAAGCCAATCAGCGAGCTCGTGTATTGTAGCCCGACACGCCCCTCCCGCTGGGATGTGTACAAGGCAACTGTTTTGGTTGGGACGAACAGCACTTTCCCTTGAATCCACTGGCTGTTACTCGTGTTTGCAAGTCCAGCCAACCACATTTGACAGTAGGTTTATCATCGAGATTAGTGAACCGACTTTATCTTAAAGCTTACAGCAGCGATTGTGAGTTGTATACGGTGAATCACCGTTGTTGTAACAGCATCAACTGATGTGAGAGGCACAGCACCTTGCGGATACATCTCGCCAACTCCCCACATCACCGAGGCCCCTTGCCGCTACCCAGCCAGGGACTAAGTTCATCATGATCAACCCGTTCATGGATACTGCGCACACCCCACACCTACCCCCAGGGGCACTGAAGCTGAGCCCGCCCCACCCTATGGGAGACGGTGGGGGGATGCACGGACAACCAAACCATCAGTTCACCACCCAGACAAACGGATTTGGGGTGCCCCACACTCACCCCCACGCGGTTCACGGTGGGTACGCAACGAGAGAACTGTTCCTACCGCATACCAGGAGGGAGATGGGTCTTGGGGGACCCGATACGAACGCCACCCCCCATCACAGTATGTTCGTACCCTCAAGTGCGGGGCTCCACGCGGCTCACCACCCCGACCCCACCCCCAGCCATGTGTTGTTCCCGGGGCTTCACGAAGCAGCCCACCACAACCCTGGACATATGAACATGAACAGTCCAGTGCCGTTGTACAGGGATCAGTTTAGCCAAATGACCGCACGACCGGACCATTTCCCCCCGCCCCAGCACCATCTAAACATGGGGCATATTAACCACCACCCCATGAACATGACCCCCCACGGACCCGGGGCCTTCTTCAGGTATATGCGACCCCCGATGAAGCAAGAACACACGTGTTTGTGGGTGGACCAAGAACAACAGGAGCCAAGGAAAACGTGCAACAAGACATTTAACACGATGCATGAAATAGTGACACATATTACAGTGGAGCATGTAGGCGGACCCGAACAGACAAACCACGCGTGTTACTGGCAAAACTGTCCCCGTGAAGGACGTCCATTCAAAGCGAAATACAAACTTGTCAATCACATCCGAGTGCATACCGGGGAAAAACCCTTCCCCTGTCCCTTCCCAGGATGTGGCAAAGTCTTCGCAAGGAGTGAGAATCTCAAGATTCACAAACGTACCCATACAGGTGTGTATATTTCTTCTTCTGTATCTCCACTATGTTATCACAGCGACACGGATCACCGTGACACGGGAAATTGACATCCTAGTTCTGCGTATAAGATCCTAACATTATCACAATTAGACGAAATCGACATTTTTTTCGGCTTGTCATTTTCAGTGAAATGGACATTCCTAACGGATGTGAAATGTAAAGATCACTTTTACGCCATATGTTTTGTGTAAAAAGCCGTAGCTAAATACTGCTGTGTTTATCGTTAGACAGGAGTCTTTAAAAAGCCGCTAATCTTTCATTCGGACTGTATATTGCAACCAAAACACCGCGGATTTATTTTTCACCTTTCGTACTCTCAGTGTTATGACAACAGCTAATTTCACGTTTAAGCTAACCGTCGCATGGCAAGAGTAATTGTTATACAAACATGATTGTTTAGAAACGTGATAAGCCCTTCTTATCGAAGTGATGACATTTGATTGCGTTCACCACGATCATTAAGTAGTTGACTAGCTTCCCTACGTTCGACCATGCTAACTGCCATATCATTATTGTAAATATTTGTTTAAGAAAATCCCTACAAATTGTTTACATGCAGATGCTTTCTCCTCTATCCGCCGTTAACATCTCTGCTAATTTCTAAAACATAAACAAAGTATTTTATTTCACCTAATATTTTCTTTACAATCAATACTTAAGACTATTTAAATTCTTTAAATTTATTTTATTTTAACATGTAAGTATCAAATTTGTTTCATATTGATGTTAAACATTGTAAAGGATGTTATGGCCCTCGAAACGCTCTGTTAATTTTGTTTAAAGAATAAGACGGATACTATTGAATAATTTAAGTTGATTGACTGCCGAAGTACATCTTTCTGTGCATATTATTATCTAAGGCAAGTCACCTAAACGTGGTTTTCGTTAATATTTTATCCTGTCCTTTTGAAGTTATAATAGATGAAATCCATCCGTCTAGCAGCAACGCTGAGGATATTGCTTGTAATTTGATTATAGAATAGTATAAACAACCCTCCTCCAAATCAGGTTTTAATTTAAAACAGGATTATAGATTCGGCGTAAAGGGAAATATGGAGAAATGTGTTTATAAGAGGAGCTTAAATCAAAAGCATAGGTTTGGTTTATTTTATTAATATATCTTAACCAGTTTAGCAATTTTCAGACCTTGTCATTAATATTTAAGTTCTTTGATACACATATTACATTTTGTAAATTTAACACTTCAAATACGTATTTATTCCAGTACTCAATTTAGTAACATGTGTAATATTTATTATAGCTAAGGTTATTTCGATATAACAGTCAATAATAAAATTTAAAAAAACTTGACACTTTGCTGCGATATAAACAATGTATGATTGTAAGAACATTTTATACGTGTGATATTATAAGTATAAACTTACACTAATATCTAACATGAGTAATGCAGGTTTCAGTATCTGTCTGCAATCTACATGTGTTGATGTCAATTGCTACGAAATCGATCACGCGTACACGTGGGGTGCGCGATACATACACATGGTTCTACTACGGGAAATAAGTACCTTGACAGGTCTGTTTTTAATTTCCTCGGGGTTTGGGAAAGTTGACTAAGCTATAAAGTCATCCATGATGAGCCTATCCGTCGTTTATTTCAAAACCAGAAGCTAATGCTCACAAGTGGAAAGAAATTAGTTCTTTCACTTGGAACCGATGAGCTAAAATCAGTGTGTGTTTGGGCCCAGGGTCGGCGATTGCAAGTCCTGAAAACCGATCAAAGCTCGTGGACCGATAAACGTGCACGACACATGGACTTGACCCGAAAAATAACTCAGAGAGTTTGACAACATGGAAAAACATGCTTTCACCGTACTTAAACAGATTCAGAGCGCGGCATCGTAATCTCTATACCCTCTTTTAACACGGAACACTCGCTTAATCGCATTAGGATGAGAGAGAATTTAGAAAGGTATCGAAGTACGGTCGTCGGTTGGACTGAACTGCGAGTCCTATGTTACTACGTGCATTATTTTCACGGAAATAAAGCCTCTTCCTTATAATATTAGGAAATTAATTTCGTGTGATCTCTCCTTTTTCACCAACCATATACAATCCCTTGAAATATACTTTAAAATGTGTTTATTATTTAACCCTAATTGTTTATTTCTTACGAAATATCTCAAACACGCTGTATTGACAATTTCGAATTTACACGTCACAATCTAAATAAATACGTGGAGAATTTTCTTTGAGAAAAACTTGTAAATAATGTAACTTGAAACCAGAATTAAAACACACATGTTGAGAGTTACGACTAAACTATATCAAATGTAAGGCCTCTGCTCCTGTGCTTCAGTTTAGTGTAGATGAGGCGTTTAAAACAATAAGACATTGCGAGTTTATTGGACCCAGGGGGCTAGGGAACCCTGTCGAACACTTCACCAGGGCAGGGGTGAAATGGACCCCACACGGACACCGCACTCCCAAGGGGGTGCGTCTTGCAAAATCATTATTCGCGTTTTCTTAAGCGTTTTATCAACTGTAGGTTGGACGAAGATGTTTTGACCATTCTTTAAAGGCAAATCTGGTACCAGGGAAAGCGCTCGGGGTTTTGAAGCGAAAATCCGCTGCAGTTGTGTTAATCATTTAAACGTGTGCTTAAATCTGTTCACTGAAAAACGCCGAATGATGACTGCGCGAAGTAGGACGGATTTGAGAAGCTTCACGTCACTGGATATTTTTTTCATACGTCAAAATAACACTCATGTGTGTAACCTTTAGCTGTTGTTATTTCATCAAATATTTCATCTGTTTTAAGTAAATTTAACGAAATAACTCGACTCCCATACTAACACTACAAGGAAGGTGGCAGTTAAGTCATAACCCACAAAAGAACAGTATCATTAATACTTATTGAAAAATCAGCAATTATCTTAATTCATAACATATTTTTTTAATTTTCACTGAATAATTTAAACCTATGAATATTGAGTGGATCTTGTTGTGACAATGATTAATATGAAGATAGTTACATAAGTTTCCTGATAAGAAGCTAGCAATAAACAACATACACTTGCAAGATTAAACGACCTAAATGCAATATAATAATTATAGAAAGCTGCTTCGAATTAACACGTTTTTCCGGCGCTTGCTAAATCTGTTGTTAATTACGCTTACGGTGATTAGTAGTAGCTGTAAATTAATTACTGTGCCAACCACTAAAGGTGTGGAACATGCATTACGAAAACAATCTTGTAAACATATGTTTGTGATCTATATTCATCAACACAGCGAATTCGTTCTTATTATAACAGTATCATTTTTTAACATTACTCGACTTCCTCAAACATTTTGGTAAATAGTAACGTGTTCATTGTGGTTGGTAATGCATTACTAGCAAACCTCGGACAAAGTCTGCGGGATTAATTGTTACATGGGACTGGTTCTGTGAAACACATGTGTCTAGCACTATCACACTTTACTACCGCACAATAAGGGTTATTATGTGACAAAGTAGGTTACATGTTAATTAACGGCAATGACATTTAAACCTTGAATATTTCCCCCGTTGTCATAGCGACAATTTGGAGTTGAATATACTCTCGAACACGAGGCACACAAAAAATGTATAATTGTAACAAAAGATTTTTTTTAAACTGAAATTTAAGAATCGTTTTATGATGCTCCTGACGCGATTTATCAACGTAATGGTTGGTGTATTTGTTAGCCAGAAGACCAATCATACAATTATGATCAATTTCCTAAATTCCAAATGATCAATTAGGCAATTTTCGCCATTAGTCCGTCATGAGTTTGAAAATATTTTGATTAACCGTTCTGCGAGTCGTGTGTAATTGAATGAAATGTAGAGACGACTAAGCTGAATGTACACTGGCCTAATCAAGCTCGTTTTTCTCAACAATTATTTTCATATTTGAACATTACAGAAGTATGGCCGATATATAAGTACTTACCTTAAACAATCTAATGAGTCTCTTGGCATTTTCACGCAAAATAATCGTGTCAATTACTACTACATAACGTTGGTCCTCTGTCCCGTAAGGGTTTAATGTTTTTAGATTTACAACAAAAGTGATTTGAAAAATTAAAAATAAACTAAACTTTTGGCGCCACCAATGCTTGTTTGATAACAAAATTCAAATGCTTCCTCTTAGCCTTACGTTTGGATAGAAAGTCAACATAAACAATACTTGGTAAATATGACATGGCAATACTTGTTCATCGCTGGAAGAAAATATTTATAAAGTTACATTTATTCATCAATATGGCTAAGTTTGCATGCCGTGATATGTTCACAATGCTTATATTGTTATTCAGCTATACTTATTGTGAATAGTCTGAGTTGGAATCTTCCAGGAAATTGAATACGGTCAGCATGAAATTGACAAGGATACATTTCAAAACGGTTCTTCTCTCGCTATTCAAAAGCATATTTTGATTTCATATCGGATTACAATACAAACTACCCTGCTTAATAATGCAGTTGTATTCTTTATTAAAACACGTATCTATTCCAATCCGAAATAATTATAGCGACAGACACTCCATAACCGGTTTTGTTACATGGGGTCTTTGATGTGTGATCTGTGTACGTTGTATATTACAACGACGGTGAAATTAACAACATTACATGGCAAATACCCGCTAATCTATTTCGCACAAACAACTTATTTCTCCGGTTAACGTGCTAGTGACGGGGCCACGTACGACAACATACAGACGCCTTTCTTACAGAATCTACGTAACTAGTTATTAGGGTATATCTACCGTGAGATATATTCATAACTGGCTGGTATGGAACACAATGGCTGCACCAGACGCAGTGACAACGGCATCGCTCTTCTCTGCACATGACTGGGGAATTATAATAGCTGGCTACAAACTACAATCGATTCCTTGGCGTTGATCAAAATATTGCCATCTGACGAAAACGTAATTTCCCACGCTATTGTATTGACACTGATTGTCCTGCGCTCCATTTAGGTCTGAGCATTGAAATATTTCATAATTGCAATTATTATAGATGTTTAAAAAAATATATTTGTATCCGATTTAAAAATAAATTAAATTATGTATACATAACTATGTATTTGAGAAAATGGCAAAATAAAACTCATCATAATTTTCACGTATTATATTATATAATCACATAATATGACTTTTCTAATCAAATTGATAATGACGTAAACAACAATCTTGATTATTGTTCGGGCCCTATCAAGAAGTTTGAGGAAGTATTCGTTTAAAAAGCCAGTGACGCAATATATACATTTCTGAAATTCATGCGGTGTGATTGTGACGTGTACGATTAGCCAGTCATTACCTGGATATGTAGTGACGATAGGTTATCTAGAGCTTGTATCTACGCCCTACCTATCAATCGCCCGTCACTAATATGACACGCACGCCTGTTCAAAGTTCATAGACACTTGTCAATTTCATACCAGCTGATCAGTCCAATCTCAAACCCACAGCTGTCAATCAAATATCGAGAATCACCTGGTGATATTCACATATAACTCATTTTCAATCATTTTAATCAGAGTTTATTTCCGAATTTAATTCTGTGTTAAGAATCATTAACAGAGTATCACCACATTTATACATTTCTTTTTTAAATACTTCAATAAATTTTACATTCTCAAAGAATTGGAACATTAGTTTCATCAAATATTTAATTTCTGTGTAGGTTCTGTGATTTAATAAATATTATTATTAACTAAACTTAATGAACTTCGTAATGGCAGTTCGGCATTCTAAGTAGAAATGCAGGTACAAATTGAAAAAAAGCTTAATTCCCGTATTCACCTGCCATGTTAGTATAGCGGATTAAGCAATGGGTTCAACCTCTTAATTACGTAACTAAATATCCAGTTCATTATTAAATCGACACATCAGCTTACTGCTAACATAAATATTTGCACGAAGCATAAAGTAACTCCCAAACTTTATCCCAAAGCATCAATACGTTCTGGTAATATAAACAAATCATAACACGGTATTAATATAAGTCCCATCTGTCAGACGGTAAGATCAGCTGATCCTTGATAAGGGTGTTTATATCAAGCAATACAGGTTTATCCCATTCACCCTGTTCCGTTATTAAGCTTGACTGGATTACGGTGCCTGTGACCGGCCTAAATTGACTATCATCGCTTGCAAACTTAATTTTCGTTAGCATTATGCGGCCGCGCAATTGGAAACGTACAAAGCAATTCTTCCTCGCGTAGAGAGATAGTTAGGTCTTGGTAAATATTTTCATTAAATCACCAATTCCTCGTGCTCGAATTGATGCAGACGATTTATCCCAATTAAATAAGAGGACTGGATGTGGGGAAATCGGCGAGTAGAGTCAAATGTCACAGTATCAATATTACTGTATTTTTCTGATATTTGAAAGGGAAATAAGTTTGTTTTAGCCCCATGCTTAAAAGTTTAGAATGATATTTGATAATTATAAAACAAGGTTAACAGATATTATTAGGTCTCCAAAATGTAGTTTCATTTTTTGGAAGTTGGGATTCTTTGGTGAATAATGGAGTGTTTTGGGAATTATTGAGTTATAGTCGGTATCAGATTTCAGACCCGATCGGTTAGTGTTATCTTGGTAATGCGACCAGTCTTTTAAAAGAATTAAATCTGATATGCTTACTAATTTCATTTTAAAACCGCGAACCTCTCCAAGGAACCTAAGCATATTACCTCTTCGATATCTTTTGGGAATCACTGACAAAAACCAACTAAATCTTCTAAAACAGATATTTGTGTAACGGGGCATAAATCTTTATGAAAATGTCAGTTTTCATTTTTCATAAAATGCTGCTGTGTTCAACGATATAACGATACACGTATACTTCTGTGAAACTGTAAACCAAAGCTGATAAAAAGTCAGTTCCCCTTTCTCCGAAATCCTTTTAAAAAGCTGGTTTAATCTTCCAAAAATTCACTAAATCGTCACTCCAAGCCCATATGTGTCGCGGGCGCAAAGCCATCTGGGTTTAGTGAAATTCAGCACCGGTTTTCTGATGAAATGCAGGCTTTTCTCTTGCCAACTCGTTATGCAAGTAGAACATTAAACACTCCGAATTCGCTTCTAATACCAGTGCACGTTTTATACTTCTCCTGGGATTACTTGCGAGTAAATTCCCGCTAAAGTGATATCTAGTTTGCCAAGTGGACAAACTGCTGTACACTCATTCGAGAACACTGGAAAATGTAAAATATCAACCGTAGACTGCCTGTCATGTTTCAGCGTGTTTAATATTTAACACGTGTGATTTCTGCTGTCCCCGATGACGATTAAGGTTTTGAATCGCTTGTTCTTCGTTAAGAGTTGATATGAATGATTAAATCAGTCGATTTTCCGAAACACTTGTATCCGACATTACACGAACAAATATCTCGCATTCAAGCCAAGTTTGAATAACACTTAAGAAAACGAGTGTTATTTTATCATTTGTTGTGAATTTCTAACGTTACATATTACATTTTCACCGCAAATATTATTTCAAATCGTAATATCAATAATTGTAGATTTACATGGTATTTGTTGACGTTCTCCTGACGTTGTTTTTATAAGCTCCCCTTAGATTGAACGCACAAATAGGAAGGTTTAACGATAATGGGTGCGTTCAATGACACTCCTCAGACTTCATAATCCTGTACGCTGAGAAGAGCGTCTTGGTCCTGAATATCGCTTGGGTCAGGACAAATTCATGCCTGTAAAGCATCGTTATTTGAACACGCAAAATTATTGACCTGCAATGTACGGCGAGCAAACGTAACCGTTTTGTCAATTTGTAAGCGTTTGTCAATTCCGTCTGTCCTCATTTAAAGCAATTCTATGTTTTGTGAGAGCGATTTACCAACGCTTTTTACTTGAGAATGAAAACCACTTTTGTCCATATTGTTCCCCTCTATGCGAGCTGTTGTATTTACGTCTCGTTCTTTCCGTCTTTTCAGGAGAGAAGCCGTTTAAGTGTGAGTACGAAGGTTGCGACCGGCGCTTCGCCAACTCCTCCGACAGAAAGAAACATTCTCACGTCCACACCAGCGACAAGCCCTACAACTGCAAGGTCAAGGGATGCGATAAGAGCTACACCCATCCGAGTTCTCTGAGGAAACATATGAAAGTCCACGGAAAGACCTCTCCCCTTCCATTTGACTCAGATGACCCTGATAGCCCCAGCAGTGACTCCACTCCGGCCACCAGCCCCACCACAAGCAGCTCCAGCGCTCCAGTGACGTCATCAAACTCTCTCAATTCGTCATCGTTGTCCCAAAGTAGTCCCATCTTGTCCCTCGGCGCCCCAGGGCTCGTGCACCCCCACCCTACAAATCTCAGCGAGTGGTATGTGTGTCAGAGTGCTGCTGGTATGCCAACACCCCCAAGTGATCATTCCCCTATCAACTCTTTAGCCCACATCACATCGCTTCACCCCCCTCCGGTCGTGCAATACACGTGACGCCATAGAGACTAATGTCGTGAAACTCACTTCCTCAGTTCCAAACTGCAATATGGTGCATGCGCAGTTGATGGTTTCCGGTGCGTCTGCTCCGAGAGATACTGCAGCATCTCATGACTTTCACTTCCGGTGGAGACGAAGGTTGCATGCGTGAAGGTTAGGCGAAGCCAGAGAAACTCTCGGGGTATTTTTACCTGACAAAAACGGAACTCCCAAAGAATATGCTTGTTTATATCACTAGGAACAGTATTACAGCGGGTTCAAAGCGATGACGAGAAATGACGAGAAAATACGAGAAGGACACGAATCGAGAAACAGCTGTGCAAAGACTAGTGATACAGAACAGTATAACCTCTAGCTTGCCACTTATTTCTTTATAAGGACTTTTTGTGGTGCTCACTGAGGCAATTCATAGTGACTAGGAACGAACTTTGACATTTGACCTTAACCTCTCACGGGGAGTCATGCGTCGAAGGTACAGTTCCTTTATTTAACTTCTTACCAAAAATATATACCAATGTATACTGAGACCGTTGCTATGGTTTCCCGTAGTCGACACACAGCATTTGTTCTCTAGTTTTCCGTCCATTTTATTTCACTACACAAGTATCGTATGGTAGCCAGATCTAGGTCCAAAACAATTAGCCAAATGCAATAATTCTTGTCGTTTGCGCGGAAGCCCAAACAATTTGAATCTCACAATATTGTTATTGCCTTTATAAATTTTATTAATTTAACTGTTGTTATATTGGAGATGTTGATTATCGAGGTACAAGTAGTGAACAGCATTACGGAATCTCTTAAGCGGAAGTGACGTCACATTGGCAGGTGGCGCCACAACCGCGAAGTGTCGTCTGCTTAAGCCATTAGCACGTGCTCTGACTTTTCATTCCGTTTTAAATAGACTCGATCATTCACTTGATTGAAACCTCCCAGATTCAACCATCATAACATAATTGAATGGATGGTTAGCCCAAATTAACCATTGTTGTCTAATGATGGGTTCATTTTGTAACGTGACGTCACCATGGCTTGCAAGTGAGACCGTTCTACCAATATTTTATGGCATGGTTGTCGGGTGAAGTACCATAGTAGCAATTGAGGTCCTTCTCGACCCTACGCGGGCCTGTTGAGACCTGATCTGGCATGGTCAGGCCTGACAGTGAGACTGTGGTGCTGCTCGGCCTCTTGTGCCAGGAATTCCTGGTCGGACTTTGGCTTCTTAGCCAGGCCTGGCGTTTTATTTATTATACAATGGGTAAACTTAAAGTCCCGACTCTATTGAGTGATTGTATGTATGTCCGACTGTATGTATGCTAGAATAGTCACGATTGTAGATTTCATACGTCTATGTTAACCATTTGTAAATACAAATTTTGAAAACATTTCAGCATTCTCGTCCGTTTCATTTGACTACCTTCAAGTTGAAATACAAAGTGTATTTCATAGAACGCATCAGCAATCACATTCAAGGACAAACTGGCGAAAAGAAATCCATCTAAATTAATCTTTGAGTCATCAATACTTTTGGAAAACGTATTCCGAAATTATTGAAGCATTGTATGGAAGAACGAAGATGTATTCTTAATCAATATATATTAAAGAAAAACACCTAAATCAATTTATGAATGGGTATCGTTCTCGACAGATTGTTCCAATGCGGATAATGCTTTTCTGGATTAGCAATTTAGTGGAACCCCTAGGCCTAGGATGGCATGAAAGCATTTAAATCACAATCATATAGCCATAATAGTAGCTTAACTTGAAACATACGAGGTGCATTTCGAAGTTAAAACAGTCTGCAAGTCATATAGACATTTCCCCAACGTCTGTGGATTGCCATAAGAAGCAAGGCTCCCCTCCTTTGAACCCGCGTGTTAAATCATTCTTGCAAACAGACTATATCTAGAGGGATGGAGAAAGTCATTTTCCAGATACTTAAAAGAAAAATGACTGATGTTTTTTCAAGACTATGTTGGGAACTGATGAAATGCACACGTGGTTTTGCATTTTTGCACACTTGATATAAAAGACTTGTATTAATGCATACACAAGAGACTATTAAATTAGTATGGGTATATCTATATAGTTTCAAATTGTTACAAATTGTTGGTTGTATTGTTACATGCATTTGGATCAAATCTCTTTGGATCAAGAACAATCTCAAATCAAGCAAACGTTGATTCAATTATTAATTTAGTGACGATTACTTAGAAAGGTACATGTCGTGATGGGTTAAGCCAGCAGCTGTTTACATGGGTAATGGGTTTTTCGTTTTCCTTTGAGTTATAACTTCTCTTAACCTTTATAGTAATAGATAAAAAATGCAAGTTCTTTAAACGAAAGTACGATCTCATAAGTTAAGACAAAAATAAAATAATTGGGCCAAAACTTTGTTTTTAAGATAAACCATACACTTGAACAAACTTATTTACTGATATATGACGTTTACCGTCGTGTCATGATTTCTCTTTTTGTAATAAATGTTTGCTTTCTGAAGATCTTATGCATATTTAAATCTACAGTTACGACAAGGATTCTATTTTGATCATAAAATCGCATGATGACATTTTGCGTGTGGAATGAAATATTCAAACTCAAGTATTGCACGTGACATAAAATGGAATGAGAACGATGCTAACTATTTCATTTTAAGCACATTTTCAACAAGCTTATCTAGTATGATAGTCTCACCTGTCTAGTTCATGAGCGTTTGAATATGCCGTCATTTTAAAAAGTTGTCTTGATATAAGCAACAGCTGGCCATTGTTAATCATATACATTATTATGTGGGGCACTGGATGCTATATTATGTAAATACATTATGTAATATAGATACTTTGAAAATAGCAATGGCGGCATGTAAACACGGAATTAGTGTGTTATGAATTTAAACCATAAGTATTACGTTATTTCATGGATCATTTGATCAAGTAATTGTGTCCATATAAATCATATGTAAGTAATAAATGTAGCGTTTAAGAGCATTTATAATATGTAATGTAATAATTACGATTACTCATATTAACGGCTGTACTTAATCAATTGCTAATTATGTATCCAATGTTCAAATGTGAAATTAACAGTGGATTAATAGCACACGTCACGAAGCCTTTCAAACTGAAACAACAGCAATATTGATTTGAAACACAAGTCTCGAACAGGTCATTGTCGTGTTTTTGATCACGAGAAGTTGATGTTGATAACAACAGATGCCATGTTGTTTTAGTACCCGTACCGTGTCAAGAATTGAAATAATTCTGAAATAAGTATTTTAAGAAACACGATATATCGATATGTGTCAGTGACCAGATACATTCGTGATTGAACCATACAACGATGAATATAATGAAGATATTTGACTTTGATATAAACATTAATATATTTTTTTAAATACGAAATTTTTGACATAGGTCAACCTTTCGTTGTATAAAACCAGCGTGTAGGTCGAACTCTAATTGTAACTCGACAAACGCCTATCCATATTCACAAGACATCTCTTCTGTAACAGGACATACATTTGTAGCACATGTTCAGAATGACTTTGGATCGTAAAATATCGTTATGAGTATGTTATGAAGGTAAATCATATTCATACTAATAATCAATCAATAATTCACCCTGGCTAGGAAACCACCCACTCTACTTATGCATATTCTAGTTTCTATAATTAACCATATTTCTACATAAAATCATTTGTAATTAATGCTTATGACTTCCACAGTTCGTTTAATCAGCAAATTCTGAATGTCACCATATGTGTCGTAAATACCACACATGAAAGGCGTTGTTGACATGTACGACTGTACCAGGCTAAAGGTTGACTATATAAGGGATAATTTACCTCAGATGCAATTCTTTAAAAAACACTTCATTAGAACACGTGCATATGATTAAAAAAGTTCAAGTGTATGTTAAGCTGTAATGGATTATGTAGACAATGTACATTATCGTTATGATTAATAATTGCGTTAGATGCATATAAAGCTGTAATATATAATATACCTGTAGTAGATATGTCTTTAATCTTACGAAATTATGTGTCTCTATTTTCTGTTCCCCTTCCCACTATTCCCTTTCCTACAAGCAATGTAGTGATTACTGACGGTCAAACGAAAGTATACACCATGTTTACTCGTGGCTAAAAGGGAAACAAACAAGACATGGTTATTCGATGGTGATGTATTTGATATAGGTATCATGGGTGTGTTTGGGACCCTAGGTTTGCAGTGTTTCGCCGACTGTTTTCAGCGTTTAAACATTTATATAACTTTTGTCATTGTTTGGTCAAATCCAATTTTCAAGTGTATACTTTTGCTGGCAGTTTGATATGATTAATACATACATGTAGTATCCAACATAGCTCATGTCACTTAAACGTGAAACCAAAATATTATTTGTTATTGAGACATATGAATTAAATTGTATTTTATACACGAGATTATACAACTACAGTTCAAAACATCTCCAATGTTTTCTTGTTAATGATTAAAAGGAATATGATTTAATCAAAGAAGTCTTTTGTAAATATAATATCATTTGACAGTATTAATCTGCCGGGAGAATCTATTCCTTTGAGGAATTCCCAACCAATGATATTCACTCCCTCTAAATATCATAAACCGCCTGGCTTAGTTTAATCGTTGAACGCTACAGTAAGAAGCGAACCTTTCAGAAGACATTGCGGCGATAGAATTCTTAATGACACGTTTGATTCGTAAATAAAATTTTCAGATGACATTAATGATCTTAGTCAATGACATTAGGTCGCTACCTGCTGTGCTCATGGGGAAGGTATTTTCACCTTTATGGCAATATATTGTCGCTGGGCTTTGAAGGGATAGTTTCATTTCGCCGACACTGGACATATGGGCTCGACAATCTTTGTTTTCTCAAAAGCAATTATAATAGTTGAACACGTTAAGCTGGAATATTTCATACAGTGAACATTTGGCATCATAATGATATTCGCCATTTTTTTACAGACTGCTTGCGCAATTAATCTAATATGAAATATATAAATGTGTAAAACGAACATATTGACTTTACTGGTTTAGGGGGATTTATTATTTAATAATGTTATATACCTATTCTTGTATTATTTTAGTTCATAGATTCACAGGCTGTCGAGTGATCGTCACACCTGATGGCGTGACACAGTTTGATATCATGACATATTCATTGACTTATATCCATGACTATTATGTAACCGTCCAGTAAATATTGGTTTTCAAAACACTTAAAGCATTTGACGTATGGTGGCGGCCCTTGTTAACTGCCTTGACGTATATTCCACACTTAACACAAGTAGGAGTATTTCCACCATACAAAGACCAACATTGACTTCTACATAAGATATACATCAGCGTATGGATTTTTATGTAACCTTTTTATACATACAATGGTACAATAAAATGTACTTTTCTATATTTCTTGAAGCACAAGGTAGAGCGTATGAAAGACCAGATAGATATATAACAACAACATAAATAATAATAATAATAATACTCTTGGCCTGATGATGTTCGTCTCTCCGTGGTGGTTCTAGATAGGGAGGACAATAATAATAATAATAATATCACTCATTATAAAACGATAATTATATATGTATATATATATACACACACACACACATATATATATATATATATATATATATATATATATATATATATATATATATGTGTGTGTGTGTGTGTGTGTGTGTGTGAGTGAGTGAGTGAGTATATATATATATATATATATAATTAAATAAGTGGAGTAAGATTGATCACAGTTTTAATAGGCTAGCGCTTTCAACTCATCAGGCCATAACTGAATAACGGACATGAAGTAGTAACATATAGTTACGTGACGTCATAACATTTAGGAAACTATGACGTCACAATACCAAGGTGACAATGGACAAATAAACTTACGCCTTTACATTTAACTTAGGCGCGTATTTATGAATGAAATGTTGCTCTTTTTGAAACAATGTAGGTTCATGATCAAAATATATATATAAACAACAGTAGACTCGCCATTGGTCAGCCATTAACGGTCAAGTTACTACACGCACGTTGATGGAGACTTGCTGTCGAAATTTGTTCTAGCGTTGGACATTCAAAATGATTACGGTCCCTGTTGGAATTGTGGTGACTGGGTATAGTCGGTGATTGAAACACAACCATACATTGGCTTACAATAATACATTTTCCAAATGTGTGCAAGGTTTGTTAAACTAGTTATGTTTGAAACAGTTTCTATCCCGTTTCCCATAAGCGTATATTAGCTGTGATATATCCCTTTTTGATTAGCAAGACGTCGCTGTTTTTTGCATACTTCTTGTCAAACGGAAACGATAGTTGGAAAACAATGTCATTGTCATAATTTTGTGTATTACAAATG